TCTCCTAGCATTGGAAGCAAAGAAGAGTGCAAAAAAAACAAGGGCATTTGGAAGCAATCAGCCCTAGGACATGACGGCCCTCAAGACCAGAAAAATGAGATGGTGCCTGGCTACCAATGCCAACCACTCAGGAAAGGATCAAATCTGGAGATCCTGGAGAGAGTTGGAGGGAAAACATGGAACAAAATCCAAAAACTCAATAATGACCAGAATTACTGGTTGGATGGAGTCTGGTGAGAGTCCTAATACTATGCCCCTGGGATACATTCTGCACCTGGAATAAAGCTCTCTCCTAGGGGCTGGCTCTCAGACCAATAGTTAACAAGATGTACATGTAGACCACTCAACCCAGGGTGACGCACCCACATACTCTGTGGAAATACATCCCTTGGTATAATAGACCACGAGGCACCAGAGGGGCAACATTCACACGGAGGTAATGCAGGACAAACAGGAGTGAAAAAAAGAAAGAGATAATGAGGGTTTTAATGACGCAGTTGAGTCAGAGGTCAGGACATATTGGAGAAATAATTCTAAGCTAAATACAAATATTGGAAATTGAGACTTGGTTAGAAATAGAGAATTGGTGAGAAAGAGGTAGAAGCATAGAATGATTCCCAGATTCCTGACTCGGGATGCATGAGATAGGGACTCAGGAGTAGGGGGGTGAAAAGGAAGAGTTAGGAATAGTCATTTAGTTTTACTTTAGACCATTGGCTTTGATATTCCTATGGGAAGAACATCAGGGTTGAGATGTCCAATAGAAAGTTGGGAAAATATATCTAAACTGTGGGGTTAAGTTAATGTTTTCAGAAAACAGATTAGATAAGTCATTTTTAATATAATCTGAATAGAAGTAGAACGTGAGGGCAAGGTCATTACTATAAGTGTCTTGCAAGAAAAGTTATGTCTCCCTCCAACTTTTTATCTTTTATCCTCCAAAAATCCAACACAGTGCCTTGCTCACAGAAGACCCTCAGTAATTACGTGTGTATTTTAATAGTTAGATGAAGAAAAGAGGGAGGCCATAGCTACTGGCATTAACTACAGTCCCTTGAAATTCCTTTGCATAATAAAGTCTAGGGTGGAACTGATGACAAATGAGATGATATTTACCTATTGTGTTTTTTTTTTTTTTTATTCTTTTTTTCCAAGCTTGGATCAATAAAATACAAGATTTGATGGTTGCTGCAAACCTTGGCCAAACTAAAATTCCCAAAGGAGACGGATCTTATTCTGTTGGTTGTACAGACTTGATGTTTGATTACACTAATAAGGTGATGCTTTGATTAATATAACTTATCCTTACATACTTTTAATACTGACTGTTTTCATAGCCTACTAGAAGGTATTAGAACTTGACACTACCTTCATTTAGGAATGACTCATTTTGCCATTTGTGTTGCTTCGGAAGAAACCTTTTACTAGTTTAGTCATTCCCTAATTCATTGCTGTCATTTAATGAATTAACTTGCAGCCTCTCTTTATTTTCCTCTTTCTCAATGACTGAGGGAGCTCTGGTGGCATAGTGCCTAAGGCATTTGACTGCTAACCAGAAGGCTGATGGTTCAAACCCACCAGCCACTCCTCAGAAGGAAGATTGGGTGATCTACTTCCATAGAGATACCACCTCAGAAACCCAAGGAGGGGTCTCTATGAATGGAGTCGACTCGACAGCAGTGAGTTATTTTTAATGGCTGAAGCTGGTTGCTTATAATTTCTTTTCACTTAGAAAACATATTGTTTGGTTTCTCTTCTCTTTCATAGCAGTTTTTAATCACCACAAGCAGCTTAAAATGTTCTCTGAATCTTTTAATGAACTACAGAGTAGTTGGGGCCTCACTAATTAAATATGCAGAATAGTTGTTGGAATATGTTTGAGAAGCAACTTCTTAAAAGTACATTAATTTCCTCTCTCAACAGGGCAGTTTCTTGCGTCTGTATTATCCATCCCAAGATGATGACCACAGCGACACTCTTTGGATCCCAAACAAAGAATATTTTTGGGGTCTTAGTAAACTTCTTGGAACACACAGTCTTATGGCTACATTTTTAGAGTTACTCTTTGGTAAGATTTCTGTTGATCCTATTTTGTAGGCTCTGGGATATTTAAAAACAAAAAACTTGAAAACAGCAAGAATTTCAGGCAGTTAAAGACCAAATAGGCTTCCTCCTAAACTTCCTCTAAGAGGGCAAGGAGAATATTTCTGAAAAGCCCATGCAATTATCAGGGAATCAAGGGTTCTTGTTTTTTCCATTCTGAATCTAATGGGAGTAGGTGAGGAGATGAGAGTACCAAACTGACTCTAACATCCTTCACAACTGCTCTTTGGTTTTTCTTCTTCAATACTATGGGAGAGCAATAATGTAAGAGTAGCATATTGGTTCATGTGGCCAATGCCCTGCATGCTTTGTGTTAGGTGCTTTCTAAAGCCAGGAAAAAGGAAAGAAGAGAGGTAGGAGAGGGAAGGAGGGAGGGAGGGAGAGAAGAAAAGCGTGGGAGGGAAAGAAGAAGGAAGGAAGGGAAGGAAACCACCATGATATTCCAGATCCAAATAGAATGAGCCATAAATGTCATAAATGAAAGAAACTGGACTTCATTCCCATCACCCACCCCCTAAATGCCATTCTCCCTCCCTAAGATAGCTCTGCCACCCCTGACAATCTGATGGGCATTCATCACTTTAGTCATCTACCTTACACTAGTAATAGACATTTCCATTCTTATATATTTGACCAGACACTACTTTTGGGCCAATGTTAATTATGTCCTTAAATTTTTTCCTCAAAACTATCTGCAACTTTTGGGATTCATTTGAAACATCCCCTTGGAGATATCTCTGGGGGATTTCTCCTTCCCATCTCCTCCCCCTTCCACCTACTTCATTGTCCATCCCCTGGGGATACTGGTTCAGAGATAATGATGACAAGACTATAACTGCATACTTTGATGGTGCTATGTGTCTTATAAAGAAGCTCTGATGGTGTAAGGCATTTGACTGCTAACCAGAAGGTTGGCAGTTCAATCCCACCAGCCACTCCGTGGAAGGAAGATGGGGCAATCTACTTCCATAAAGATTTACCACCTCAGAAACCTAATGGGGGTTGCTATGAGTTGGAATCAACTCAATAGCAGTGGGTTTTTTTAAAAATGTATTTTATGAGAGGAGCCTTGGTGGCACAATTGGTTAGGCATTTGACTACTAGTCAAAAGACTGACAGTTTAAACCCACCAACTAGCTCTGTGCGACAATGATCTTTCAATCTGGTTCCAGAAAGATTACAGCCAAGAAAACCCTTTGGGGCACTTCTATTCTGTTACATGTGGTTGCTATGAGTCAGAGTCAACTCAACAGCCCTTAACTACAACAACATGCCTTATAAACCATTTTCATAGCAATCATCACAGTCTTCATGACCACGTCTCTGTTAGGAGAAAATGAAACAAATAATTGCTAATAATAATAATGACAGTAACAATTAAAAAAAGAAGAAAATGTCTTCTATTCTTTTAAAATGGTAACCTATGTGACTGGGTGCTTTACTTATATTCTCTACTTTAATGGAATTCTTACAAAACCTTCATGAAATAGATACCATTTTCTCCAGTTTACAGAACAGAAAACTGAGAGAGTTTGTATAACTTTCCCAAGGTCAATAGCTAGTAGGCAGGTGAGCTACATCCAAAACCCTGTCTGTTATGAAGTCAATGCTCTGTCCACCTTTTGCTGGGTTGTGACCAGGCAGAATGAGAGGAGTCTCCAATTCTCAGGTTCTGGTTCTCAGTGAATTTTCCTGAGATTTACTGGTGTTATGGATTGAATTCTGTCTCCAAAAATATGTGTTGGAATCCTAACCCCTAGACATGTGGATATAGTTCTATTTGGAATTAGAATTGTCTCTGTTATGTTAATTTGGTACTATCAGTGTAAGATATGTCCTAAACCTAATCCCCATTGCATGACATAAGGCACATTTTGATGGTGCAGTGGTCAAGCATTCAGCTGCTAACTGAAATGTCAGCAGTTTGAACCCATCTAGCAGCTCCAAAGAGGAAAGACTGGGCAGTCTACAAGATTGCAGCCTAGGAAACCCTATGGGGATATTGTACTTTGTTTTATAGGATCATTATGAGTTAGACTTACCTTGACAGTATACAACAACAAGACAGACATAGAGGCAAGTAAACAGATTGAAGAAGGGAGACACCATTTGAAGATTACAGAGGCAGATAAATCTACAAACCCAGAAACTCCAAGGATTGTTGCCTAGTAGAAGCTGAGACAGAAAAGAAAGGTCTTCTCCCTATAGCCAGTATCTTGAATTTAGACTTTTAGCCTCCTTAACTGTATGAAAAGAAACTTCTGTACCTTAAAACCACCCACTTGTGGTACTTCTGCTACTCCAACATGAAGAAACAAAGACAACTGGTTAGTCTACTTTTGGAACATTCCCTCTAAAGTTTTGGCAAGACCTGAGAATGGCAATAAGGAGCAGCCTACCTGAATACTCTAATAGGAACAATCTTTCACCATAAATTGAAGACTGACAGAGAGAACTGATCATTAATGATCCTATGGTCTTAGGAACAAGCCTGCTGGTCGGGGGTTAAGTGGTTGGCTGCCAACCAAAAGTTTGGTGGTTTGAACCCACCAGATGCTCCACAAGAAGAAGATGTGGTAGTCTGCTTTTGTAAAGACTACAGCCTAGGAAAGCCTATGGGGTAGTTCTACTCTATCCTATAGAGTCACTGCCAAAGAGGCAGGGATGCCCCATCTTCTGACCTCCTCCTCTAACTCCACAAGAGGAAGACAGAATCACCATCAGTAGCCAAAGGCCTATTCCTGCGAGGCCAGACATGCCACCTCCCTCCAGCCCTTTCACCAACCCTGACACCAGCTGTTCCTCCCACAGCATCCACCACCTCTCTGCTGGGTTCAATAATTCACTGCACTGGCCACACAGAACTCACCGATTATGGGGCTTATTAGGGAAGCAATAGGCTATAATTCAAGTTCAGAAACACACTCAAGTCTCTCTCAGCCTGCCGTCTCTCAGCCGACAGTCTCTCTCAGTCTCTCTCCCAGCAGTGCATGTCTCTCCCAGCAGTGTGTGTCTCTCAGTGTCTCTCCCAGCAATGTGTGTCTCTCAGTCTCTCAGCAGCACGTGTTTCTTATGTATCCCAGCTGGCAGTGAGAGAGATATGTTCTGCCTCTAGGAGGGCTCCTTTTAAGCCTGGCAGAGTGACCACTGACCAATACCAACATCAGAATTCTATACACCTGAGAGGATGCAAACTTCGCAGAAGATTACTTTGTGCTGGTTCAACAGAAATACCCCAGGTGGATAACTTTAGCAATCAGGAGCTACTCAGTTGCTCATGGCAAATTCCACCAAGGAGTTCACAAAGACTTATGGCTAGAAAAGCCACACTATGTCATTTACTACACCACAGTCACTATGAGTCAAAATCAACTCAATAGCGGTTATCACAAAAATGAACACACAGAACATTCTTGAGTTTGGAAGACAGAACTTTGGCCTTTAAATGACCATTAACATTTAATTAACAAGGGATGAAGGTCAGTTGGGGGCAACAGCCCTAGTGCTCCCATGTTGAGAAACAGAGAAGGAATGAAGGGTGGGGAGAAGCAAAAGTGCTGGGTCGAGGAACCAAGAGGTCTAGTTATAGTTGCAGAACAAAACTGGGGTGAGGAGTGGGAAGAAACATGGCAACAGAGGGGTCTCCCATGAGGAGGCCACAGGGTTGGGACAGATGCTGCACTTGATGGATTTACTCTGGAAAGAAGCTAGTCTGGATCTTCGGATGCTGCCTTATGGCTGTTTAGCAACAAGAGATGGTTCTGGCCTCACTGAAGTTGTGAGCACCTCTGAAACAATTGCCACCATTCAGCTGAACAGTAGCAATATGGCAGCCACTACAGCCTTCAACAAAGATGCCCTTCGGAACTGGCTTAAAGAATACAGTTCTGGGGAGGACCTGGACTGAGCTATTGAGGAATTTACCCTGTCCTGTGCTGGCTAGTGTGTGGCTTCTTATGTCCTTGGGATTGGTGACAGACATAGTGACAACATCATGATCAAGAAAACTGGCCAGCTCTTCCACATTGACTTCACACATATTCTTGGAAACTTTGAGTCTAAATTTGGTATTAAAAAAGAAAGAGTGCCATTTATTCTTACCTATAATTTCATTCATGACATTCAACAAGGAAAAACAGGAAACACAGAAAAGTTTGGCCAGTTCTGCCAGTGTTGTAAGGATGCATATCTGATTTTACTATGGCATGGGAATTTCTTTATCACTGTGTTCGAGCTGATGTTGACTGTAGGGCTTCCTGAGCTCACGTCAGTCAAGGATGTATGGTATCTCAAGGATTCTCTTACGGAAGAGTGAAGAAAAAGCACTCAAACAATTCAAGCAAAAATTTGATGAAGTGCTCAGAGAAAGCTGGACTACTAAAGTGAACTGGAAAGACTACAGATCTTAATGATCAGCTTTTGTTCCTAATGTATTTGTTAGTTTCATTTAGTTTTCATTTTGTATTTGCTCTAAATTGAACATGATCCTGCCAGAGATATTATAAAGGGAATGAAATCCTGGAACTCGGTTAAAATAAGGACAAGGCATTCCACAGAACCTAACCTGAACAATTCTCTGACGCTTTTTGAATGCTTGACCAAGACTCACCATGAAAACTGTCAACATTATGGATAATCATTTCCTGCTGACTTTGCACGCCAAGGGATGCTACTAGATTTTTTTTCCCCTTTTCTTTCTTTCTTTCTTTTTTAAGTGTTTGGTACATTTTACAGAAAGGTCTAAATACTTCTTTTCAGTATTGTGACCAAGTGTTATCACTCAGGCACCTTATTCACACCTGGGGCTCATCTGTTCTTCCAAACAAGGCTTAAAGGAAATGTATTTTTCTTCTCTTTTAAATTATATAAATTACACAGTATGATATAATTTTAAATTATGATTATTTTTGAAGGAAAGCATTTAAACCTGTGGAAACTTTAAATTTTTATTAATATTTATCTACC